GCTATTTACAGTCTTTTCACTTCAGAGTAGAGATCTTCACCCCCACCAGGTCATGGCCAGGGGCGTGGAATGGGTTCAGTTCTGGGCTTCGCCCTCTTATTAAACTGCTGGCCTGGCCAGGACCTGGGAGGCTGAGTTAGTGGGAGTGAGGCAGGAATTCCAATTCAGTGACAGACGTCTGTGGAGTGCTTACTGTGTGCCAGCCGATGCTCTGCATGTTTTCCTATGTAATGTCTTCACCCCCACCAGGTCATGGCCAGGGGCGTGGAATGGGTTCAGTTCTGGGCTTCGCCCTCTTATTAAACTGCTGGCCTGGCCAGGACCTGGGAGGCTGAGTTAGTGGGAGTGAGGCAGGAATTCCAATTCAGTGACAGACGTCTGTGGAGTGCTTACTGTGTGCCAGCCGATGCTCTGCATGTTTTCCTATGTAATGCTGCTTTAAGAAGCTGTGTTCTGTCCTAGCCAGTTTGGCTCAGTGGATAGAGCGGCCGGCCTGCAGAAGGGTCCCAGGTTTGATTCTGGTCAAGGGCATGTGCCTCAATCCAAGGCCCTGGTCAGGGCGTATGGGGGAGGCAACCAGTCAATGTGTCTTGGATGTTTCTCTCGATCTCTCTCCCTCCCTTCTACTTTTTTTTTTATTTCTTTTTTTTCCCCTCCCCTCTACTCTTTCAAAAAAGTCAATGGAAAAATATCGTTGGGTGAGGATTAACAACAGAAAAAGCTGTGTCTGGGTCTCATCATTGCTCTTTTTCAGATAAGAAGTCAGAGCCCAGGTTAGAACTCTGTTCTGGTACTAGCCCCTCGGCTTTCAATTATTTATTAATTTCACAAAAAATTATTATGCACTTCCTATGTGTCAGGCACAGCGTCAAGGTGTTAGGGTTACAGTGATAAGAGATAGACACTATGGAATTCACAGTCAGCGGTGACATCACAGTCAGCAGTGACATCACGGTGGGGGTGCGATTGGGGTATGCAGCACCTTCATTCATTTCTTTGTTCAATCGACATTTCTCAGCCTTCTGTCAAGTACAAAGCACTGAAAGCCAAGTCCCCCAACCCAGACAGATTACTGGCCCCCACCTACATAAAAATTCTGGAACCACCACTGTTTACAATGAAGTAGGGGAAATAGACACTAAACAAATTATTGATCAAAGAATGATTTAATTACAGTTAACAGCGGTGGTGCGTGAGAGTACAGAGAGCAAAGGAGGGGGCACAGCCTGGGGCCTGGAGAAGTTTCTCTGCAGCTCAGATCTGCTGAATGCAGACTCAGCCAGGCTGGGCTAGGTGGCAGGAGGCCCAGAAGCAGGAAGGAGCTGTGGGGAGGGCTAGGGCAACTGAACATGCCAGGGGGACCCTCGTCCTTTGAGGAAGGGAGGAGGCGTCAGAGCCCAGGTTAGAACCCTGTTCTGGCACTAGCCCCTAGGCTTTCTGGCTCAGGGCGTTCAGCTATTTCAGTGTTGGAAGCTGGAGAACTTGCAAGAAATGTGCAGACAATGCCCGCAGACTGCTGGGGGTCAGCCCTACCCTTTCAAGCTCTGTAGCCTTGGATAAGTTATTCAGATTTGATGTGCCTCAGTTTCCTCCTTTGTAATATGAAAACTTACTACCAAAGGTTGAATGGAACTTGAATAAAATAATGCACATAAAGACCTTAGAACAGCTTTCGGCACATTTCGATGGTTATTTGACACATCCAGCCATTTTGATGCAAGGAATGGGTTAGAATTTTAAGAGGAGCCCATTTATCTAGGTCAGCGGTTCTCAACCTGTGGGTCGAGACCCCTTTGGCAGTCGAACGACCCTTTCACAGGGGTCGCCTAAGACCATCCTGCA